TCTGGAAAAACCAGTCAGCGCTGAAACAAAAAAGTTTTGCACTCGGTCCGTTAGACCATGTCCTCAGAAAATGTCTGATATCTGACCTTTCCCCCACTGCCCTTTGACTTGTGACCTCCAATTTCGTGCTGGTGATGGGTTTCTTGCCCATCACACTATTCATCGAATATTATAAGAGCGTAGGTCGAGCCGTTGAGATTTGTGCCGCAATTCCGTATTTCCTCCTATACCTTAAGTTAAAGCGTGTATTGCGAGAATTTTGCTCAGAAAAATGAAATATAGCTGAATATAGTCTCACCTGACAGCGAAATTATCACTGATTACACCAACATTCAAAACACCAAGATTTTATGCAGTTATAGCATAGAAAAATTTATTTGACCACATCATACCAGCAATAAATTTGTGCGTTTCCCGACTCTCAAAATCACAAATGGCATCTTTGAACAAGTGCACATGATTAAAACAAAAGGGCATGCAATTCTGTTTGGTAAATATTATTGAGTTTTTATGTCAATAATTCAGAGCACTTTCTTTCATTGTCATTCCCGTGTTACTATCTGACTGGCAATCCACAAGCTTCTCTAATAACAGACTTTACGTGGCATTATAGTACTACACTGCTGTTACGCTAGTATGAACGGCTGTGTTTACACTCTGACCTGATTTCTACGGTGCGTGGTATGCATTGCTGCACCGTGATAGATGTCTCGCGCTACCGCGAGAAAATCCGAGAGATGTCAACGGTAAACAGAAACAGAACGCAAAATTGTAATCATGCATGATTTCATTGGATTTGGTGAATACGATGGTTCTAAGACATTTTATCGTTACTCTAGACAATTGCTGTTACTCAAGCAATAACGGTAGGTATCATGAAAATGGGGTAAACACTGGAAAATTCTCGCAATACACGCTTTAAGGGGAAAATATTCCCCCACCATTGACACATCTTGACCTTTGACCCTTGACCCCCAAAATCGACATCCCGGGTCCTTTTTGCGATCTCCCCCCCCCCCGACATCCCGAATATCAAGACCATACGTCGAGCGGTTAAGATTTGTGCCCAACTGTTGACGGACGGACGCACGGACGCACGGACAATCATGCGATTCGTCAGCTGAGCTCAAAACCTTAAATCTACATGTGCGCAAGAGAAACTACCGATATGACACGCCTCAGTTATCTCTCTACCCAGACCCTTCACATTGGTATGTGTACCAATTTAGCTCCTCCTAGCACATTTATTTATCAACCCCTGTCTAATAATGCTAGAGATTAACAGCCGCAGTGCCTATCCTTCCTGCTTAATAAACATTCGTGCTGTAACTGATTGTGATGCTTTTGATAGATTGCTAGTTTAGTCACTAACTTCTGCATGAGAGCTGCAATCCATATCCATGAGAGCTGCTCAACAGTCAACTACTGTACGAGTCATATGCCTCTCAAAAACACTTCACTAACAAACACATATTTAGAATGTCGGTATACTCAAATATCAAATACATGAACTATCAAATATTTACCGACATCAGTGTTTTTCAGATCAATTTCATATCAACGCATCAGGTGAGTGTCGTCATATCGGATAATACAAATAGTCAGATACGTAACGTCGTATTTCATCAAATGGCATTTATGCAAAATTGTACCCAGCCGTAATATAGCCACAATACACCCATTGACAGTTCTGCGCCTATGTTCTGCGCCATTAGTTACGCATCTCCGCGAGAACCCGGATGTGCGAGGAAACTCCGCAATATTGTTTACCTCGATGCGTTATCTGCCTTGCATACGCAGGTCGCTCACCTTTGTGTCGAAGAACAGTGCACGTAGCAGGTAATAGAGCACCGATAATGGATGACCTGAGTGACATGACACTTGATACATTTAAATTATGGTCAATGCATGCTCTAAAAGTCTTTCTTAAGCCAATACGATCCGTTTGAGCAGACTACACGTTAACGCCATATGTTCGCGCATTTTACTCGCGCTTTCTGGGAGCGAAACTCCTCCCGACCTTTGACCTTAGGCTAAGCGCATGCGCAGTGTTAAACTGTCAACGGGTGTATCCAGTCAGCTCAAATAATATAATGCCGAAACACGCATCTTATATATATGTGCCCTCTCATGCGCCAGAGAATGCACTCGACAGCATATATAATATATATATATATATATATATATAATATTATATTATAATATATATATATATATATATTATATATATAAATACGTATACATATACATTAATATATAAGTGTGTGTGTGCGCGCGCACACATGTGCGTAGATGTGTGCAAGTGTGTGTATATGTATCGCGCACGCACGCATACATAGTTTCTCGTGAGGAAAGCCCTCGTTTGCATCAGAGCCCTGATCTCGCTCACCTAGAGGATCGTTAATGAGCCGCAACTTCTCCTCAGCATCCTTGTTAGCGTTCTCGGGCGTGTCGGCCTTCTCATCGGCCCTCATCACGGCCTCCTCCTCCGCCTTGTGGCCAGTGTTCGCGTCACTGCTACCAAGCGGGCAGCTGACATTCGACGACAGTATGGCTTCCTGCATCCTCCTCTCAAGATCGTCTACGTTTCCTGAGGAGCATGAACATCATTCCTAATTCTAATCATAATAAGAACAAACTAGTGTGTTTTCTGATGAGGAGGACCTATGCATAGTCCGATATAACACTTTACCCATATGTGAAGTCAAATAATGCTGCACCCATACATAAAGTTTGATAATGGTTTGCGCATACGAAAAATCTGATAATGCTGTGGCCGGTATGTAAAGTCCAATAATGATGCGCCCGTATGTAAAATCCATTGATGCTGTGCTCGTACATAATGTCATTCTCTAGAGCGCCACTTGCTTACCATTGCCAGATACCTTAAGCTTAGGTTCACCGTTGACCATAACGTACTCATCGGAATCTAGTGAGCTGTGGCTTACAGCATCCTCCATAGCGTGCCACTAGGGGGCGCATGTGACTGCCCGACCCCGGTCGTCCCTCCTGGGTCGACGCACGCCGCAGCAAGAGCCACCACCTTGTTAATGTTAAATGAGATTATTAGCTGAAGACTTGCCAAACCTATACTTCAGAGGCGGTTCACCAGAAGAAAGATATAGATAGAGTTACGGAAGTGATGCAAGGTTTTATCCCTTTATGTACATGATTGATTATAAAAAGCTATAATATTAATAGCAATACTACTGTACATCATAGAAAGAAGCTGGATGTGCAATATGGTTATACATGGTTGGGCCCCGTAATATTGTTTCGACAAGGATATTTGACCTGATTTCACAAGTATTTGTCACATGGAACATGCTTTCCCGAACCAATGTCTGATAGAACAAGATATATCGCCTGCAACAGTATTAAGCGCACTGACAAATTGTTCATGTTATGGCACACAATTTGATCTTTGTACTGTACTACTACTACTACTACTAGTACTACTACTAAGTACTAGACTGTAATTGCCAAATTGGGCAAAGAAAGTAGAGTTGACACCACCACACGACATAGACTGTATGTTCATTCATTAACACAAGAACAATCTACTACTACGTAAGACTCTACATGATTAGAAACAGGTCAAGATAAGGAATAAAGTAAATAAATGCCAGGAACGTAACTAAAATTCCCAGTTCAATGTCTACACTACACAGTACACCCAATCAAATTCAATGCAATGTCTATCATACTCATACTCATAGATAAATAATTCCACATTAGCATTTTCCATACCTGACTGGGATTTGTTAAAATCAAACTACAACCATGCAGGCACTGCACCACGTTAGTGTTTCCCGTACCTGACTGGGATTTGTTAAAATCAAACTACAACCATACAGTCACTGCACCACGTTAGTTTTTCCCGTACCTGACTGGGATTCAGTGCTACTTGTCTCTAATAGCAGGGGACGGGGCCTGCCTGCATGGCTGCTGCTCTTCGTCTCATCACCCATCGTCCCAGCAACGGGAGGCTGCTCCGAAGCTTCCACGCTCGGTTTGTTCGCCGACCGGCTGACGCCTGTAAAAGATTCCACGCTCGTACTGCGACCGTCGCTGCAGCGTCTGCCATGTCCTAGCTCTAGAATATTTTGCTCCCCCTGAGCATCTTCAAATTGGGATCAATCCTCAAAGTGTGATGGCAACAGTGGGCCGCATTGATAGACATTTCGCTGCCAAAACCATGTAAAGAAAATACCAGAGGCACCTAGTCATAGATCTCAAGCCCGGTTCCACTGCTGATCAGTAAAGTTTGTTTGATTTTGACGAAGTGGGATCGGTACATGTTTAAACGTAATGCCTTTATTGCTTTACGATAACACTGTTAGGAGCAGGAATGCCGCTCAAGAGAAACAAGTGCCGCAGAGCGACAGCGCTCAACTAACGTGTACTGTAGCCAGGTATTCTTCTGATAAACTCACTGGCAACCGAATCAAGTGCGCCCTCCTGCCACCGCGTTCGCGCTCAGAGCATATATCCCGAGAGACCGGATACAAGATGGCCTTGCGCAAAAGATGCGTTGTTCCCCAACCGCCGAAAGCGGTTAAGCCGCGCACTTCCGCGGGACTGGGCGCACGCGACCGCGGGATGTATAGCTATAGCTCCCGCTATACGCATTCACGAGCCGAAGGAAGGCGGGCGCGCGAATGCGTATAGCGGGCAGCGTAACATCGCGCAGTTTTCGGGACACGTACATCGGCTCGGCTACATCGGCTTTGGAGGGGGGCTTTCCGATTATGGATTGACACGCGTTTGTACATCCTCGCCGTCGTACCGTCACCTGCCGTATTTTCGTACCTTATCTGGCGTTCTCCCACTATCTTTCTCTCATTCTCGCACTCCCCACAGTCTGTCTCTCTCTCTCTCTCGCTCTCGCTCGCTCTGCCGCCACGGGTTAATAAGGTATCTATATACATGCATCAATGCTGCCGCACAGCACTGCACTGTACTTGCAGCGTTTCAATAAAATGTAATGCTAAATAAATACAAAATCTATTTACTACGAAAGTCGACAGCGGCCGCAAAAATCCCGAGCCGCCTCCACTGTGAGCGCGGGGGAGGAGGAGAGCTTGCAATGTGGCGCCTCCGCGTCTTCGTAAAAACATGTGCTATATATAATTTGTGTAGTCAGTGTGGGGCCGTGTTGTACGATAACTACGTGTAAAAAACTTGGCCCGGCCACGCCAGCACGTGCTTGCACGACGTGCCGTCGCCACGGGTCAGCGCGGGGTCAAGGACATATCAAATTCCATATTGCATATCGCGCACAGTCACAGCATGGGGGTAATAAGAAACATACGGCTGCCTGGTTTTCCACGAAGTACTAGTGGCCAGTCTCGTATAAACAACCATTCAATCACTGAGGGCCTGCGGGTCCTAAGATGGTCGCATTCGAGCCTAGGACTGGTACGGACAGTTAACTCGGCAAGTCTGTTTCGCTACACCAACGTTATAGGTTTTAGTCAAGCGTCTGAAACTCTCCACCGGCAGCAGTCTAAGCCGGAATCGCCGGTCGTCGGATGTGTGGAAAATTCTGTGGATAAATCCCTCAAGAAGAGAGCGCCGTCGCCCATCTATGGACGCCATTATGTACGAGCAATAACTTCAGGGCGTTAAAATTCAATAATATTGAAATCGCTTTTCTACAATGAAACCAGAGAAGACGCCCACCATAAAACTACAATTACGAGCACTCGATTTATTCTCGCCCCTAAGTGGCAGATCGAAACGCATTCTGCAATCGCCACAACTGCTCAATTGACCGATTATGCGGCCTTTCTGTAGTTACCCAGAGGGCTATCGAGTAGTTTAGTTCTACATACAGGCAGCGAACTTGGCATTGGAAAAGGCCACGCGGCGCGCGACTGTTCGCGCTTCGCGCGTATATCCGGGCTGCCAGATCGTCTAGGGATACTTACTAAATTACAGATCTTAAAATCTATGATAGGCCTTTGGCTATACCTACTGGTAGTACAGCTAATAAGAACAGCTGTGTAACTTTAATGGACTTCGCTATATTAACATGTTGATACATGGATAATGGCATCAGTCCTTGATTAACAGTCAACAAAACCCATGTCTTAAACCATCCTCTTGAGGGTCAAAGGTTATATCAGACACTTACTCTTCACACGTCAGTGAAAGTAGCATTTCATGCGTCCTTTCAAATAGTAATAAAACGGCCGGTCAGTGTAATGTTCTTATTGTTTGTTGATCGATGATATCAAACCATAATTGAACTCAGAAGATGTTGTAACACCTCATTCCCGCTGCCTCCTATTATTTTTCTTGTTATCCCGGGGACGGCGGCAGGTCCACCCCGCTCGCGCGTGATGCTACCATGCACACATCAGTTCCCCTTCACACCGAATGTCCCCAGCACCGATACAAAACACGGTAAACTACTAGGGTTCCCTCCGAACCTGGACATCACATTCCTCTCCGCAACCTGAACAGGCCAATGTCTTAGCATGTACAAAAAAAGTGATTCACGCTCGCTATTATCTGCTTTAGTTTACTGGATGTGTCACTGGCTGAGCGCAATTTTAACAAAAAGCCGATATTCAGCAGTACGTCGCTGTACTGCCATGAACACATCGAATATCTCATACATGATACAAAATGTAAAGCATCGCTGTGCTGGCAAGTAGGCCAAAGGGTAAAGAACTTTCAATCCTTGGTTAGCACCAGTCCTGTAAATCTGAAACTGAAGAGACTCTGTTTGGTCTCCTTCATAAGGTACATACTGCTAAACAACAACATTCAATCTCAAGCGTAGGGTTTGTTCCTACGCAAGTGCCTTCCCTGATCTAGCATACGTAGTATCACTTCATGACGAGCCAAACACAAGCCTTTCACAACCACCCACAAAACCACACAAAAACAAAAGCCAACAACCCCCACCACAGCTAACACTCAACAAGAAACCAAAAAAAAATCACTAGCAACAAACTCACAAGCAAAGAGCAAAGACAAAAAAACCAAAACAACAAAAAAAAAAGCCGAACATCGCTCACACCACTAAGACCACAAAAAGAAACGAACAATACGAGCAGACGCCGAAAAAACAAGATAAATACCCTACCCTGAACCACAAAAAAAGAGAAAAAAAAAACGGAGAAAAAAGAACAAACAACAAGAAAAAAAATGCCAAATCGCTGGCGGCATAAACCGCCAAACAACCATCGCCAAAAGCAAAACAACGACCACAACCCAATCTTCGCAAGCTCGTTTCGTGATGACCTTGGGGACCACATGTGCCCTATCCGCCGGGCGGCCATCGTCGATGGGTGCCTTCCGGGCTATGGTCTGCAGACCCCACGCCTCTTCCTCCTCTCATCAGACCACGGTGCGGGACGTCTTCCCGAACGCACAACACCCCACCCCATCCCACCCACAATAGACAAACAAATCCCACAGCCTACGAAGAAAAACCACAACAAAAACCAAAAAAAATCCAACAAAAAGAGCCACACCAAAAAAACGCTTACCTAGCCGACCGGTGTCGCCCCGAACATTCGTGGGTCCAGCGACCTCCAGACCCTGGTCTGTGCGGCCCTGGGGGCTTGGCGTCGGGGAGCCGTCTATGAAATTCGGACAAGTTTCTCCGGAGCTGGCTTCCGGTGACTGCACGCTTACCATGATATACTCTGCCGTCACATCGATCCATTTTCTACTTCGTCAGACGTGATGGGGATTCTATTGGTTCGGCATTCTTCGAGAACCGGGAGCGTGGACTCGCTACGTGTCATCAGGCCGGCTTCGTGTGGAGGGTCCTGCTGACCGGTGGTCTACTTCCTCATTCCCTCTCTCTCGATCGGTGAGCACAAGGTTTCCCAATTTTTATTACTGAGATTCTCTGACGTATGCCTTGCGATCCAGACTACTACCTTCATCCCTTGCTTTGGTACTCGTGTTCTTGTCGGACGGAATGCTGCCGTTGTCGCCCGTGCTACGGGTGTCCAGCGCTTGCTCGTGGTCTTACCCGCGATCCGTGGCGCGGAAGGGTCGGTTTTGACTTGCCCCTCAACATCAGCGGTAGACTGAATGGCGGTATGCAGTGCTGCTGCTGAGGACGTGTCTCTTGATAGTTAAGCCCAGAAAGCTGCGGCTTGCAGCTCCTGGTCTCCAGCTCCCGAGCTTTTCTTCGGCGACACGAGCGTTCCCGCCCCGGTCCCACAATCATACTGGCAGCTTATATATGGCAACTCAGTTTCCGTCTTCGTATATCGTCTCTGCACTACGGGCTGGTGCGCTATAATCATTGCGGCCACCCACCCAGAAAAAGGGCTCGGTGGCCACAGTCGGGTCAACTAGGTAGATAATCTTGGGACGATGCTTGAAGGCTGTTAGTTACCGGTCGTTCGCTGGTGCGTCAGTCAAACGGCAGACATTTGCGCGCCGCGGCCTGGCTTGCAAGGGCCTGGTCCGGTTGTTAT